CCTGCCAAACAACGACAATTACAAAAAAAAAAAAAATCCGGGCATTGTGGCTGGCACCTGTAGTCTCAGCTACTGGGGAGAATCACTTAAGCCCAATGTTTGAGGTTGCTATGAGCTGTGACTCCATTACACTCTTCTGAAACTGTCTCCAAAAAATGGGGGGGAGGCAGCACCTGTGGCTCAGTGAGTAGGGCACCAGCCCCATATACCAAAGGTAGCGGGTTTAAACCCAGCCCTGACCAAACTGCAACAAAAAAAAATAGCCAGGCGTTGTGGTGGGGCACCTGTAGTCCCAGCTACTTGGGAGGCTGGGACTGGCCTAAGCCCAGGAGTTGGAGGCTGCTGTGAGCTGTGATGCCACAGCACTCTACCAAGGGGGACAAAGTGAGACTCTGTGTCCTGAAAAAAAAAAAAATTACATACAAGAATAGCCAAGAGGCTCGGCACCTGTGGCTCAAGTGGCTAAGGCACCAGCCACATACACCTAAGGTGGCAGGTTTGAATCCAGCCCCGGTCCGCCAAACAACGGATGGCTGCAACCAAAAAATGGCCAGGTCGTTACTGTTTTTGGCCGGCCGGGCTGGATTCGAACCTGCCAGCTTAGGTGTATGTGACTGGCGCCTTAGCCACTTGAGCCACAGGCGCCAAGCCTCACACCACTTTTGATGTGTGTGCTGCTCTGCTATCCAGCAATTTGGACTTTGACTGACACCATCAAGGTCCACGTGGCCTTCCTTGGCATCAAGAGCAAACCAGCCTGTTCCTGGGCAATGGGATTGGGCAGGCCTGTGGTGACACTTCACCCACCCCACGGCTGTAGGGGTTTAAGCCTGCACCTCTCCACCGCCTCATTTTTCTCTTTCCCAAGTTTTGTGAAGGAGCATAGAGGAACTATAGCCTTTTTGCACCTGAAACTGCCGTGCTTTTATGACATTTTCGAGACAGAAATGTCTGGGGAAAACCCCTAAATGTAGCCATCACTCTTAGTAACAAAAGGGAACGGAAAGCAATTACTCTTGACATGAAATTAGAAGTGTCAAGACAGGCCAGGAACGACTAGCACTCTGGGAGGCCGAGGAGGGTGGATTGCTTGAGCTCACGAATTCGAGACCAGCCTGAGCAAAAGTGAGACCTCTGTCTCTACTAAAATAGAACTGAGACGAGAGTATCACTTGAGCCCAAAAGTTGGATTTGCTGTGACCTATGACACCACGGCACTCTACCCAGGGCAACATCTTGAGACT